CAAGAGATATGGCTGCATATTCACCTGCCTAGCTACTCGTGCAGTGCACCTGGAGGTGTTGGAGTCACTAGATACAGATGCACTCCTAAACGCTACTGTCCACTTCATCGCTAGAAAGGGTACGACTCCGAAACGTATTTGTTCAGACAATGGTACCAACATGGTTGGGACTTACAAGGAACTCAGTGCAGCAATGCATAGTAGGAGGGATGATGAACGCATATGCAAACACTTTCAGAAGAAAGATATAGAATGGGTATTCAACCCTCTAGCCGCTAGTGTCTAGCGGCTTCGCACGTGGGAGGAGTCTGGGAATGGCAAATCCGAACAGTCAGAAAGGTTCTCAGAGCAATTGTGGGGATCCAAGTCCTGGATGAATACCGACTGCAGATGCTATTTTGTGAAGTGGAAGCAATCATAAATAATCGACCCATCACACCTGCCTCGAGCGTCGTGAGAGACATGGAAGCGCTTACACCAGCCCACATCCTCCACGGTGGCCCACACGCTGATCTGCCACTGGGAGGATGTCTTCTGAAGGACTCATATCAACGATGGTGGCGGCACGTGCAGTTCCAAGCAGAACCGCTCAGGAAATGCTGGGTCAGGGAGTACCTTCCACTTCTCCTCAAAAGACAGAGGCGACCTTGTCCTCGACACTGGAGAAGATCTTTCTCACAACAAATGGCCATTGGGCAGGGTCACGGCAGCGATCCCGGGAGCCGATGGTCTGGTGCGCCAGGTGCGTGTGCGAACCGTATCTAGGGAGTTCCGAAGGCCAGTGACCCATCCATGTTGGTACCATTGTCTGAACAAATACATTTCGGAGTCGTACCCTTTCTAGCGATGAAGTGGACAGTAGGGATTGCCCAACGCCGGGAATGTTATCGCCGCTGGCTTCAGCTACAGTGCTGGCATTTGCTGCCTTACCCGAACAAACATTAAATCTCTCAGCCTGTGACCACGTAAGCAGTGACCCCCCCACGCGACCTGTGACCTCGCCAGAAGTAGTGGCTGAGGGGGGCGGTGTTTACAGACAAGAAGTCCTGGTTCTGCTGAGTGTATGGTTTTGGAGGGTGGCGTGGCCTCCTGGCCTCCATGATAGCAGATCGCCCTCTCCAGTGATGCTGTGAGGACCAGCCCTCTGCTAGCACTGGTGAACACCGACTCACAATCCTGGCCGAGTTTTGTGCTGGAACAATTTACACAATGCTGTTGTGTCTTGGAACACCATACTGGTTCGCATTGACCCGCACTTGTAAGTACAGCCTAAGTGATGACATACCCCTCTGTACTGAAATATTGTTGACTAATTATGCTATACTCGTTTCTGTCTTATCTGGAGCAATAAGAGAATGCGGAATGAAGTGTAACTAAGATTAATAGTTATGAACTTTGTATCATGTCACTATGCTTAATAATCAAATGTAATTAAGATGAAATTGTGTGAGACTAACTAATTAAGTATCAGATGGATCACCATATAATACTAAAGAACGCCTTGTTCTCTGCAGGTTTTGACCACATCAATAAATATTGAATGCGTCAAAAGGCGGGTTTCAATCATTCCCTTCGACTTGCCCATCACTTGCACATCCTTAACTAAGGCGTTTACATGATGTTTACAAAGAATTTTTAACAGGCACGATTTATTGTAGAGGTTGAGAGCGTCAGCAGTGTGTTGTGTGTGTGTGTAATAATAATAATAATAATAATAATAATAATAATAATAATAATAATAATAATAATAATAATAATAATAATAATAATAATAATAATAATAATAATAATAATAATAAACGGTTTATTAATAGAGTTGCAGCCGGTGGCTGAAAATATACACTTAAATTTGATTTAGACATAATGATATGCGTTGAATACATTTACAGGCTGTACAGTACATAAATCAGGAGTTGTTTATTATTTTAACAATAGATGGGATGGTGCTATTCTTATATCTATCGGTGCGGGCTCTTATGGGCTGAATTTTGTTGTAGTGGCGGACTGTGCGAGGTGGGTGGGGGACTGCCGGTGGCAGGAGGTGGCGATGACGAGGATGGTGCAGTAGTCCACTGCCAAACCTTGCTAGTGCTTGGTGGTGGAGGTCACTGAGGGATGGCATTTCCAGGGTGGAGAGAGCGTTGATGTAGCCGGAGTAGTCTGCGCCGAGCATGATTCTGCAGGCCCTTTTCTGTACCTTCTCTAGCCGACGTTGTTGGGTGGAGTTGAGAGAAGACGACCAGGCTGGTGACGCATACGTTAGTTTGGGGAGAATAAAGGCGTTGTAGATAGTCCTCAGCTCTGGCGTGGGTGCCCCAAGTGACCTAAGTCGTCGTAGCATGTAGAGTCGGTACGAGGCTGCCTTGATTGTGTTGTTTACATGGGCCTTCCAGTCCAGTTTGTGGTCTATGGTAACACCCAGGAGTTTGGCAGACTGCACTAACTGGAGAGGATGGGCACCCACTGTGACTGCTGGAGCTTGCACTGGAGTGGTGGCGGTATTGATGTGCATGACTACGGTTTTGGTGTGGTTGATGGTGACCTTGTTCTCCGTAGTCCATGCCTGTAGCCTGTCCAGGGTGCCTTGTAGCGATGAGTAGTCTGGTGCGGTGTTGTCCACTGTAACCCCCACAGTGCAGTCATCCACGTACTTCCACCTGTGAGGAGTGTCCGATAGAGCGTCGTTGATCAGGATGAGGAAGCACAGTGGTCCCATCTTGGTCCCCTGGGGAACACCGCAGGTGAGGTGTTGGAATGTGGAGACAGAACCCTGATACCTCACTGCCTGACGACGTCCACTCAAGAAATCAGTGAGCCATGAGACCAGGTTGGTGGGCAGCCCTAGTGCAATGGCCTTGTTGATAACAGTGCAGTGATCAACAAGGTCAAAAGCCTTCCTGAAGTCAACAAGGGCAATGGCCAGTGATGTCTTACGTCTCTGCAGGTTTTTGTGCAGGAAATCCAGAAAACTAACTAAGCAGTGTGATGTAGAGGAGGTCCTCATATTGCCAAATTGCTGTGGATCAATTGACTGATAGATTCTAGCAAATGCCCACTCAAAAACAAAGTCTTCACAGAGTAGACTGGGTATGGGGGTAATGGCAACTGGCCTGAGGTCGTTAGGGGACTGTGGGGTGGTGACCTTGGGGATGGGGGTGACAAATGCAGTTTTCCATTCATTAGGGCATTTGCTTTGTCTGAGGGATGCATTAATAATAGAACAGAGGGGGGTGGCAAGTTCGACTGCAAACTCCTTGTATATTTTGATTAGGAGGTCAATTGGGGTCGTGGAGCGTTTGGATTTAAATTTCAGGAGTTTGTTGGCGATTTCATATGGTTGAACACTGGGAGGGGGGAGGGGGAAGGTAAGTAAGCTGGGAGGAGAGTGAGGTCAAGACTGGGTAAGGTATGACATATGGTAGCAAAATGGTTATTAATTATCTCAGCTGCCTCCTCACTAGGTAAATGTGAAATGAAAGGAAGTGTGGGAGACTGACGGTTAAGACCACAGAGATCTTTTACCTTGGAGTACCACTGACAGATGCCGACTTCCTTGAGGCCGTGCACTTTCCTGGGATAATAAGTCTTATTGGCTGACTTGATTTCCCTGATGACCTGGTTACGTAGACTTTTGTACAGGCGGTTCTTGGAGTAGTATGCCTTGTTGCGGTGCTCAATTAGTCTTTTGATACGGAGTGTAATCCACGGGACATCATCGGGGTGGATCCTCAGTGTCTTGGCTGGAAAGAAGTGGTGGTAGGCTTTGGTGTTAGTGTCCAGGTAATTATCCCACTTCAGTCCAGGGATACCAGGTTATCCATTGTCCGAAACGCTGCATGGCAGAGTCAGGGGTAGGTCAGTAAGTCCTGGTGACGTGGGTGGGTGTGCGTGCGTGTGTGTGTGTTGGGCAGCTACAAACACTATAGTACTCAAAAGAATATAAATGCTTAGATAATAAAATAACTGTAAAATCTCCCGAAGTATCTGGTTGTTGCTTCAGATATGTTCACCAAAGCGCTTCTTGCCACAACTCACGCTGACAAATCTTGCCTCATGAATAACACAATGAATATGAATATTTATCTTTGCATAAATAGTAATTTTAACTATGAAAAAATACATTATGATTCATTATTTACATATAATTCGAATTGACTTTAAATCAACTTACTACTGTAGATTTCTTTTTTACAAAAACTTTAATTTGATAAAGTTTCTTACTAAAAAATAGAGAGAGAGTTTGAGAAAAATATTAAATGAGAAACATTACTTATGATGAATTGTTACTTTTACATAAGGACACCAGTAATTACGGCGTATAATTATAGATAAGTAGCGGTTACGATATGTCATGTATCGGGGATTTCCAAACGTCGACACTTAGGCCACTTCCTCGACACACATGACCGACTTCCGTTCAATAACGACAAACAAACATTGAACTGTAATTTATTCATTTTTCATTACATTTCAAGTAACATTTAATTCACATCAAAATAATATCTATCTGAAAATATGTTCTTTAAATAGGCAGTTCAAGTTAAAAAACGGACAATTGTGTGTTAATATGTATTCATTTTACCATGTTATTCCTCTACAAAAGTAAATTAATAAATCATGAGTAATTATATATGTACACTAAAAATTAAAGTAAAAATACGAAGTACAATTTATATTTTTCTGGCAGACTGATTGAGATAATGGTTGGCCCTCGTGTAACGAGGATGACCGGCCCAAGGGCCACCTCGGCGTGGATTTGTTTAAGGCGTAGAAGCTGTCGCCAACCCTGAGTTAACGAGTTGCATAACCCAGTGTCAAGGAATAGCCGAGAAGACTGGACAACTCGCCAACTGCACTGGCTAACCATTACTCGGAACACGATCCACAAATCGATTTACATCCAGGTTCCCAATTACTGCTGGGTAGACAGAGGCAAATGGCGTAAAGAAACTTGCCCATAGTTTCACCCTGCCCGGGGATCGAACACACACACTACTGACCTGGGTAGAAGTTGATGGGCACCATACTGATCCTGGTGTTGGGAAGGATTGCTCGCATCTGCTGTGCCTCCGCCGGATGATTGAACCGGAAGTAGTTACTCCTGCCCAGGCATATCATACAGCCTGGTGGGGGAGAATAATAACAATAATAATATTAACAATAATAATAATAATAATAATAATAATAATAATAATACCATAAGTAATAACAGTAGTAATAACAGTAGTAATAATAATAATAATAATAATAATAATAATAATAATAATAATAATAATAACAACAACAACTCGGTAAAAGAAGTAAGAAAGAAGAATTTGGGGTAATGATAAAAGATCAAACTAGACCAGCGGACGCTTACAATGATAGTATCCAGCAGCTTTACCAACATTGTACACAGGTTATCTTACAGCTTTATCTAGCATTACTGTGACCTTCCTCGAATTGCCCTGATCAGTAATGGTCAGCGTTCTCTAGGGTGGAATTCAGGATATCTAATATACTATAGCAGGGGTCACCAAACTACGGCCCGCGGGCCGGATCCCAAGTCCTTCCCCGGCTCGTGGTAGCTCAAAACTACGCTCTGACGTTACCAGAGCTTTCGTTCTGGCTTGCAAGTATTGAACAGAATGATTATGCGGCCCACGCTCGTCATTCTTTCAGTTATCCGGCCCACTGTGAAAAAAGTTTGGTGACCCCTGTACTATAGGAATAGCCGTGTGTGTGTGTGTGTGTGTCTGTCTGTGTGTTTGTTTGTTCTGGACAGCCGAAACGGCACAATCGTTTTTCATCAAACTTGTTGGAAAAATCGCAAAAAATTCGTAGAGTAGAACAAACCTGGTCCCATGTCGATGGTTTCTTTAGGAAGGCATTAATTAACCATTTTATTTATGCTGGAAAACGATGTCGCTTATTTGTATAAGACCGATATAGCTACAGAAAAAATAAAATATTTACATGTTGTTGTGTATTCTTATTACTGTTTGACTGCTGTTCGCAGGAAACCGATTTATTAACAAGTTTTCATTGCAAGTGCACCGACGTTAAATCCCGGCGCGAGCGCACTTCTCCAAATATTCCCTCCATTACTGTTTTGTCGAACTATATAGCGAACCGGGCACGAAGGGCCCACGATCACTTGTATTCACTAAACAAAACAGATCTCGGGCGTTAGGAACTTTCCACAGGAGAGACAGATCAATAATTTGTTTTCTCCTGATAGATGTGGTGAGGGGCGATATGATTGACGTGTACAGGAAGGTTGAGGTGAAATAATGGTGATTAATATCAAAAGTCTAGGTTTAAAAAAAATGCAAATTCTGGTTTATAGTGTAAAATTATAGTGAAGTACCATACGTTACCGCACAGTGACATTTATTTCATTATTTGAATGGACAGATACTCGGGTGGTGATAGTGGTTAGGTGTACAGGGGAGTTTATTTCCCACGCACCACTAAGCCTACTGCTGTCTTTATTATTGTATCTGTGGTGGCGGGAACAGAAGGGAGGGGAGGGGAGGGAGCACGTGTAGTGGCGGAAGAGAAAGACAGTGAGAGGAAGCACATGTTTTGGCGGGAACAGAGAGAGGGAGGCAGAGAGCACGTACGGTGGAGGAAGCGAAAGAGGGAGCAAAAAAAGAGAGAGAGAGACACAGAGAGAGAGAGAGAGAGAGAGAGAGAGAGAGAGAGAGAGAGAGACTAGAAGCGTAAGGGAGGGAAGAAGGAAAGGCGGAAGAGAGGGAGAGATCTCACCTGGTGGCGGCAAGAGGAACAGAGGAACCATTTTTTTTAGGCGGAAGGAAGAAAGGGAGGGAGGGGGGAGCACGTGATGAGGCGAAAGGAAGGGAGGATGTTTACAAGAGGTGTGTTGTGGAAGTCACCCCCCCTCCCCCACACATCTGCCACACAATTACGACTTGACCTTGAGCTGAGAGAAGTGGTGGTGGACATGACGCTTGGCTAACGCTGCCACATCACGGTAACTTCACCACATCACGCTTGTAACACCATTCAGCATTTTACCTGCCACAAGACTTCATCACGCTATTTTCCTATCTCACAGACTATCACGTTATTATCGTATCTCACACTCCCGTTATTATCCTATCTTACTATTATCCTATCTCATAGATTATCACATTACCCTATCTCACAGACTATCACGTTATTGTCCTATCACAGACCATCACGTCATTGTCCTATCACAGACTATCACGTTATTATCCTATCACAGATTATCACGTTATTATCCTATCTCACAGACTATCACGTTATTGTCCTATCACAGACTATCACGTTATTGTCCTATCACAGACTATCACGTTATTGTCCTATCACAGACTATCACGTTATTATCCTATCACAGACTATCACGTTATTGTCCTATCACAGACTATCACGTTATTATCCTATCTCACAGACTATCACGTTATTGTCCTATCACAGACTATCACGTTATTGTCCTATCACAGACTATCACGTTATTGTCCTATCACAGACTATCACGTTATTATCCTATCTCACAGACTATCACGTTATTATCCTATCTCACAGACTCACGTTATTGTCTCTATTTCACAGACTATCACGTTATTATCCTATCAAGTTATCCTATCTCACAGACTATCACGTTATTGTCCTATCACAGACTATAACGTTATTGTCATATCTCACAGACTATCACGTTATTGTCCTATTTTACTATCACGGCATTATCCTATCACACAGACTATCACGTTATTGTCATATCTCACAGACTATCACGTTATTGTCCTATCTCACAGACTATCACGTTATTATCCTATCTCACAGACTATCACGTTATTATCCTATCTCACAGACTATCACGTTATTATCCTATCTCACAGACTATCACGTTATTATCCTATCTCACAGACTATCACCTTATTTTCCTATCTCACAGACTATCACGTTATTATCCTATCTCAGACTATCACGTTATTATCCTATCTCACAGACTATCACGTTATTATCCTATCTCACAGACTATCACGTTATTGTCCTATCTCACAGACTATCACGTTATTTTCCTATCTCACAGACTATCACGTTATTATCCTATCTCACAGACTATCACGTTATTATCCTATCTCAGACTATCATGTTATTATCCTATCTCACAGACTATCACGTTATTATCCTATCTCACAGACTATCACGTTATTTTCCTATCTCACAGACTATCACGTTATTATCCTATCTCACAGACCGTACAGCACACTCCATCACGCACCACCCACCGCTCGCCCATCATAATTACCATCCAGTTTTTTTAAGGTTGGGTGTGAAGGAGGAGGGAAAGAGGTGAAGGAAGTGAAGGAGGTGAATGAAGTGAAGAAGTGAGGGGGGGGGGGGATTAGCTCACCCGGGCACAGGACACTAACCCACATCGAGGCCTGGGAAGCAAAAATAAATAAATAAATTGAGCCATAATTAAATACACAATTGGAAAAAACCATATCAAGAGTGAGAAATGAGATGTGTTGTCAAAGTAAGAGAAACAATTGAGACCCTGCAATTGTGTGTAAATGAGCCAGAAAGTCAGATTAGCAACCTGGGACTTGGTCTACCATTAGACTACACATTATGCTTCCAATATCTTCCCACGCGGGGGAGGTATAATAGGGAAGGGTGATGCAAGTGTAGATAGCAAGAGGAAGATAAACGTTTAGACACGAAGAAAAATCGACACATAATTTCTCTCATATCATCATCATCATCATCATCTTACAGTCAGCATACAGTATAATACAAAGAGGGAGGAAGGAGGAGGGAAAAGGTGAAGGTAGTGACATGAAACGGGAGATAGTGGGAAATAATTTTTTTTATTTAATAATTTTCCCCCCAGCATATTGTGTGTGTGTGTGTGTGTGTGTCCTCTACACCTTTGATATTTTCTCGTTTGTTTTTGTTCCACGTGCTTCAAGCTGTCAGGGTTATTTGCACAAGTATTATTTTGTCGAGTTTACGTGTATAAACTCTCTCTCTCTCTCTCTCTCTCTCTCTCTCTCTCTCTCTCTCTCTCTCTCTCTCTCTAAACAAATAAAAATAAGAAATTACCTAACTAGAGGATTTTTTATGGATCTAGAAAGTAATGTAGGATATAATTTGTACATGTTTGTAATAATAATAATAGTAATAATAATAATAAACGGTTTATTAATAGAGTTGCAGCCGGTGGCTGATATATAATATACAAACTTACATGTGATTTTGACAAAATAATATACGTTCAATAAATTTACAGGGCTGTACAGTACATAAATCATGAGCTGCTTATTATTTTAACAGTAGATGGGATGGTGCTATTCTTATAGCTATCAGAGTGTGTGTGTGTGTGTGTGACCCCCATCAGTATACTCACACAGAGAGCACCTTGTAAGGCTCATGACGGCAGACGACACTGTGCTCCCCTCTCCTCCTCCACTACCACATCCACCTTCACCTCCTCCACTACCACACCCACCTTTACCTCCTCCACTACCACATCTACCTTTCCCTCCTCCACTACCACACCCACCTTTACCTCCTCCACTACCACATCCACCTTTACCTCCTCCACTACCACATCTACCTTTACCTCCTCCACTACCACACCCACCTTTACCTCCTCCACTACCACATCTACCTTTACCTCCTCCACTACCACATCCACCTTTACCTCCTCCACTACCACATCTACCTTCACCTCCTCCACTACCACACCCACCTTCACCTCCTCCACTACCACACCCACCTTTACCTCCTCCACTACCACATCTACCTTTCCCTCCTCCACTACCACACCCACCTTTACCTCCTCCACTACCACATCCACCTTTACCTCCTCCACTACCACATCTACCTTTACCTCCTCCACTACCACACCCACCTTTACCTCCTCCACTACCACATCTACCTTTACCTCCTCCACTACCACATCCACCTTTACCTCCTCCACTACCACATCCACCTTCACCTCCTCCACTACCACATCCACCTTCACCACTACCACATCCACCTTTACCTCCTCCACTACCACATCCACCTCCACTCAACCACTCACGCGTGGCTCCACCATACTCGTACAGAGGAAAGATAAAAAAGAGGTAACATGATCCACCAC